AACCAGCTGTCACATTTTACAGAAGCTGTTCCATTAGGAAAAAACATTCCTTTTGAAGTCCCATCTTCTGTGTTTGAGTGCTGGTATGGGAAAAGCTATCATACCTCGCAAAAAGTAGGTACATGACAAATGAGTTGGGTGCTGGTAACACCTCCTCTGTGCTGCTCTTAGAGTCACACCCAATTGAAGGATGGCTGGTCGGAACAGATGGTTTTTGAGATCACAGTATAACCAAGACAACTGGGACAAGATTCAGTGGTTGTCTCAAGGGTAGGAGCATAAACTGATACTTTGGAAAGTATGGCATAGTAAAAAATGAATGGAAAGTGTTTTCATACCTGTCATTTTGCCCTCTGCATCTTTTAAGTACTGAAAACTTCGAGCAGCCATGAAAACCTGTTTAGGCTATGTAGTTTTCCTTCTGCAATGAGCTGAATTCTCAACTCCAGGCATTACCTGAGTATATTAACATACAAGCCACCAGTCAATTTTAAGTTCTTTTAATGAAGAAGAGTTACCAAGCCATCAGCATTTTGCTAATTATAGAAATAACTGTTGGCCAAACAGTGTGTTACAACTCTGGAGTTTGTAAATGGCATTAGCACTGTTGGTAACCTTGAGGACGACGTATTGACAGATTAGGTTCAATGCTGACTGTACATGCAACAATACAGGATTTGGTTCAACGTGGAAGTGTTTATAACTGCTAAAGTTTTGAGTTCCTTGCTTTATATAAAGCATACATGTTAGTAGCAGACTTTGCTCACCTCCTCATCAGGGCCAGCCCCTTCAAAAGTTATAGCTAAATAATTTTTCTCAATAAAATCAAAGCACTATGTCCCAGAGTTGATGCTTGAAAGGTAGGTCAGAAAGTGTTGTTAATATTCAGATATACACTTAATACACATACAAACCAAAAATATTAAATTAAGGTGTAAAACTACTGTATAGTTATTATATATCAGTTTTGAATTCTGGTTTTGCTGTCATTCAATTAATAAACTCTATTTAACAGATGGCAGTTGTTCAGTAGGCCTTGTTGTGAGACTATATTTCTGCAGAGATATTTGTGATTATGTACATACTGGGGTCATTCACCTTATTTGAAGAGGGGAAAAAGATAAAGCCAACCTGCAGGAATCATTTTGCTCTTGAGATGATCCCAAACAAGTATTTGGATGGTTTGGGTAATGTTATTATGAAAGCTATCTTTTGAAAACTGAAAACTCCTACTCCCTGTCTTTCCTTCTCTAAGCATGAAGCTGGATTTCACCAGCACATTTGAATATGTGGAGAAACTCGTGTCAGTTTGGTACAGCATATGATTTCATTATTTATTTTCTCATAACTCTGTAAAATGCTTTAAAAAAGAGGTGTGTGCTACACACAGTAAGTAATGTGGTATGTCTACTATGGGACAGGAAGGGCAACCAGTGAGAATGGAGGACTCAGAAGGGAAGGTAAAATACCCATTTCCATTTGTGATCAAATTAATGAGATTCCCTGAGCTATAAGTTTCAAATTCAGACACAATTCTAGTGTTGCAATTAGGAAGAAAGATGTTGAATCTACAGCCTCTCAGTCATTTAAAAAAACCCCAATATATTCCCTTGATCATTTCTTAAATTTTATTATGCAGTGTCTGACAAGTAGGTACTTATAAAGAACACATTTGCATTTTGCTATGAGTGTACTTAAAGTTATAAATTTTTTTTCCGCATAGTTGTTTATTTCTTGATAGTGTTCTGAAAATTCTCATATCTGACTGAAATGATCTGTCCTTAGTCAGAAGTTAATAAAGAAAAGTTAAAAGATAGCAGATTTTTATAAGGTTCAATAATAATAATCACCCTAAAGCTCATCCAGTTCCAACCCCCTGCCACGTGCAAGGACACCTTCCATGAGACCAGGTTGCTCCAAGCCCCATCCAACCCGGCCTTGAACACTGCCAGGGGTGGGGCAGCCACAGCTTCTCAGGGCAACCTGTGCCAGGGCCTCACCACCCTCACAGGATGAGAACTTCTTCCTAATAACACTAAATATTCCTCACTGGTGTTTGTATGTGAATTTGTATGTAAAGAAGCTGAATTGCTACTTCATGTCTTTAATTTGTTTGTTCAAGTTTGATCTAAATGAGAACATCAGGCAAGTCTGTGAGAAATTATTCTGAAATAGGACAGGCCAGACTAGGAAGAGGTGGGTACAATTATATTAATCTGAGATCAGTACATGGTACAGGGAAAAAATGCATAAAAATCCAAAACTCTTGTTGGCTAGGATTTTCCAGAACACCTAAATGAAGCATCAAGATCTCATAATGTTTCACTGGGATTTTAGTAATTTTGTTCCTTTTCTATATAGAGTTAAGCACTGTTATTTCAGAGTGAGAATGTACACAGCAAGAGATGCTTCTGGAATAAAAGTTCCTGTACAGGGAGTTAATAATTAAACATTAATTCATAATAATACTTCATGTAGGCAAGAATCTCATATTCTTCACTGTGATCAATATTCAGGTGTAAGTTTTGTGTCTTTAAGTAACGTGCCTTGCAGTAATTCAATTTGGAGATAACAAAAGTATAAATCAAGGAAATGAGAATCTATTTTGAAAGCACGACTTGCATCTTCTTAGTGAGAAACACATGGACTATAGTCCTGTGATCTTAGTTACAGTCTCAACTTCCAGCAGTAATTGAGACTTACATGTTTTTAGTCTTCTATGTTACTCTGCCTGAAAGTAAGACAAGCCATGGTTGGTTCATCCCTAATAAAACTAAAGTTTTCGATGTTTGTTTCTTGCATCATTCTTGCTTCACCTTTTAAAAGTATAAAAGGAGATGATCCTTGGCAGTATTCAAGGCCAGGCTGGTCGGGGCTTAGAGCAATCTGGTCTTGCGGAACGTGTGGCAGGGAGATGGAACTGGATGAGCTTTAGGATCACTTCCAACCCAAACTTTTCTATAATTGCACTTTCAGCCTGGTAAATTATTGTAGTAATAGTAAAGCATATTAAAAAAAGATGAAACGTGTGTCCTATTGAGGGCTTAATTTTAAGAGAGTCAGGGTTTACCCCTCAAGCACTCAAATATTTGTTCTTTATGTTTTTACCAAGACAGTCGAGTTTTCAAGGCCATTTAAACACTAAAATTTCATGGTTTTCTGTGTGCATACACCTCACAGGAGAGGGTACAGCTATAACAGCTAGCATTCGATCTTAAAAGAGATCTCTTTCAAGCACCTGTCAGAATCAGCTGCCACATCATGCTTCAACCAGACGCTTTCCTGACTGAAGCCTGAAGCTATAAAAAAGGATTCTGCCACCTTGAATTCCTGCTCTACCTTTCCCTTCACCCTGCTGCCTGTTTGGAAACGATAGTTTGTTTTCCTAATGGTGAAAGACATGGAAAATGTGCTGAAGTTTGCTGAAAGGAATTTAAAAGGAAATATTTTTATCTTGGCATGTAGCGCAGTTGTAAGAAGAATCATTTTGATGACATCCATCTGTTGCAGATTAAAATAGGCTGGAAGTGGGGATTGGAAAGTGAGTTCATATGGCATGATAAGTAGAGTGTGACTTATATAAAGGCACTGAAATGACTTGGGTGACTGCAATAAACTGTTTTGTATTAATAAACTGCATCAGTATTAATAAAGTGAAGGTGGGAAGCTTTTAGAATAGTACTTTAGGATGTGAAAGAATGGTTTTCACCTGGTGTTCCTGATGGGGAGGGGAAATTAGATGGGGACCATGGTTGGTTGGAGGTGTTTCAGTGCTGGTCCAACAGCATGCATGCCCTCCTGTGACTCTTTATCACCTCCCCACAAAATGGGCTTTTACAGTTACTTACCTCCTTTTTGAAACTCCTACTCTATTATTCTAAGCATGGAAATTGCTGCTGTCCATGTGCGTATTCCGAAGTGCTTCTTCTGTTTAATCACTACTTTCGTTGCATGACTATTTTTTCTCCTGATATCTGCAGTCGCATTTACCTCCATGTAGGTTCACATGTGGGTGAGTACCAAAAGTATGTGCTGGTTTTCAAATAGCCAATGTAATTTCATGCCATAACTGTGGATAAAGGCAAGTGGGCTGACACATTTCACGCTCCCTAACAGCACGTTCCACATGCTAGCAGGGAAATAAAAACACTATTTTATGTATTTTTAGCCTCTAAATGCTAATGGGGCTTTAAATGTGAAAATATGAATGCAGGCAGTTTAAGAGTGGGCATATTTACAACATTATCCTGGATTTAGATAATCAGGCTTGAGTACTTCATCTGCTTGGGTAGGTGGTCAGAAGCATATTAGTACTTGCAGTGCTGCCTAGTTTGGTGGGACTTCTTTTTTCCTTTAACATGCTCTGCTTCTGTGTTACAGGTGATAAAATGCAGCCATAGGACTGTCTTGCTCTTTGATATTCTTTTTTCCTCCAGCGTGTTACTCTTCTAAGCCTGTGTGTGTGTGTGTGTGTGTGTGTGTGTGTGTGAATGAATATGCACTATAGTCATGTAATGTTTATGCCAAGTACAAATTCAAGGCTAGTGTGTGTTTTGTTAAGTGCCATGGCTGATAATAGAATTGGTCAATTATTTTCCAGAGTTTTGAGCATATATACATATATATATATATTTACACACACACTCACACACACATATATTTAAACCCCAGAGAACTATGGCTAGCAGGTTAATGTACTTATTTTTTTTTTCAAGTTGCTGATATTGATTACTATGATTTCAGGTTTTTTTCTTTGCTTCTTGGTAAATTTTGAACTTCAGCACTATATTGCTCACTCTGACAGGTCTGCAGTTTTTTTGTGCCACTGTTGCCTTAAATTTGTGTATGCTAAGTAATGCAGATATGATGCAAAGTCAGTTTTCTTCACAATTTTGTTCTCCTCCAGAATAAAATGTGGAACCCTTTCCTTGGGGATGAAGTTGTGCCCTCTTCTAAGCAGAAATTAACTAGAGATTTGTTTTCTTCTTATCTTTCCACAGTCTGACAGCAATGCAAGCTTCCTCCGAGCTGCCAGAGCTGGCAATCTGGACAAAGTCGTGGAATACCTGAAAAGTGGGATAGACATTAACACATGCAATCAGGTAAGGTACTTGAAGGGCAGAGCAGGTTGCAAGAACTCAAAACTACTTTTTTCCAGCTAAATTACTTCACACAGATGTTTTGATTCACCTCAAGTGATGTTTTCAGTCTTGTTCTTCAGTGGTATGTTTTGACAGGAAACTCATGATGTCTATAAAATTATACTGGTTTTAATAAAGCTTTGTATAACCCTTTCTGGGCTCCTCTTTCTTGTCTGTGTCCCACAGGTATGGAGAGCTGTTAGTGAAGTAGCAGTAATCAAAGCTTAGGGTATGCTTTGGGAGTCTAATTATGAAGTCTGTAGTGAATTTCTGATTCTAGTGGAAATGTGGAAGTCTGAGGTTTCCCTTGCTAATTTTGTGAGATCTCAGCTGGTGAATAAACATTCAGTGGGGGGTACTTCCAGCTGACTAGCTAACTTGTGTCCAAGCAGATGAAAATCTTGTAGCTCACTTGGATTAGCACTGCAATTCTAATTATTCTCAGATGTTTAGAGAGTAGCCATGGCTTTTACCTTGCTTCAGAAAAACATAAGTATGTTTTTATCACTGGCCAATCTTATCCATAACATACTCAAGTAGATTGGAAAAGACCCGTAAGATCATCAAGTCCAGCCATGACTCCAGCACTGCCAAGGCCACCACTAGACCATGTCACTGAGGGCCTCATCTACATGGTTTGTAAATGCTTCCAGGGATGGTGATTCCACCACTGCCCTGGGCAGCCTGTTTGAATGCCTGATCACCTTCTTAGTGAAGAAATTATTCCTAATATCCAGTCTAAACGTCCCCTGGTGCAGCTTGAGGCTGTTTCCTCTTGTCCTATCACTTGTTGCCTGGGAGAAGAAACCGACCCCCACCTCACTACAACCTCCTTTCAGGTAGTTGTAGAGAATGATAAGATTCCCCCTTAAGCCTTCTCCAGACTAAAGCCCCCAGTTTCCTCAGCCATTCCCCATCAGACTTTTGCTCCAGACCCTTTACCAGCTCTGTTGCCCTTCTCTGGACCTGCTCTAGCACCTCAATATCTCTTTTATAGTGAGGGGCCCAGAACTGAACACAGAAGTTGTCTTATATATTGCTATAAAAAGATACTTAAATTTTCTGCTCAGTATACAACCTTCCCTTTCAGGGAAGTTATTACTGCTGTAAAATACACTGTTAAAGTTTCACCATTGATCTGACGTGTATATCATGTTTTAGCTTGGCTCTTTTCTGAGTTGGGCATGTAGATGAAATTACTTGTACTTCATAGCCTAGGGACCTACATTTGCAACATTTATTTAAGTGACTAGTACCATAAAATTTAATAAGACTGTAACTGTAACTTAAAAGAAATATGCAAGTAAGTGTCTGCATCAGTCCTGAAAAATGTCTTGACACTCTGGTGAAATCAATGGCAGTTCTTTGAGGGGGAACATGGAAGCTCAGGCTGTGGGGTGTCCAACTTTGCCCTAATTCTTAGCCAGATTTAATAAAAATTATCACTAACTGGGCAATGGCTATGGATTTTTGAAGTAAAATGGTTTAAAAGTTGTTTTTAAACAACATTAGAAATCAGTAAATCATCCAATAGGGACATTGCATAAGCTCTGTTTTGTGCCTCGTACGTCATGAGGTGGGCTAAAATTCTAGTGCACCGTGTAAGTAGAAACTTCCAAGACTCTTCACCTTCACAGATTACAGTGTCAAGTTCAGCTTGTTGGCAGCAGAGTTTGTTCTGTTTGGCTCCAGCAGTGGAATTGCTGTATAGAGGAAGAGTTCCTGGTAAAAAGATGCACGTATTCAAGGGAAGTTTGGGGGCAGAGAAGGCTGTGAGCATGCTGCCCTGACATAAATTGACAGCGCTGTCTGTCTTGAGCAAGGTTTCTGTGAATAACAGCTGTTCATGAAAGGTGTTGTTAGTGAGGCATCCCTGGTTATACGCCCATATCGTAGAATCATAGAATGGTTTGAGTTGGAAAGTACCTTAAGATCATCTAGTTCCAATTCCCCTGTACGTAACAATTGTAAGAAAAACTCCCGTGCATTGGCTACATTTGGGAACAGTGTGAGCGTGCCGATGCTGTTAGATGACCTGTGTGTCCGTCCTGCCCTCCAAGTGTCACCTGAGTCCTGGTTCCCTGATCACCTACACCATATGTGTATTAGTTGGCTCTCAGGTTCCATCTAGCTTAAAGTAGCTGTTTTTCTCTGAGATGAGATTTAAAAAAAAAAATAAATCTCTTTTTGGATAGCCTGTGGATTGATGCTGTTTCAGGAACTTTCCTCCAGAGAAAACAAAACATACAGACACTGTGCCTTTGGGCTGTGGTACCCTACTGGGAGCAGGAGAAGGCTGAGGCAGGAAGTGGTACATCGGAGGGACCGAGGGTTCCATGGGGAGAGCTTGCTAAGGCAGCTTGACAGCTCTGCTGGGGGCTTTAGCACAGCCCTGACAGGAACCTAGGGTGTGATGGATAGGTTGACAGAGTTTCTTGGTATTCTCAAGATTTCCAAGTTCTTAATTCTATGGAAAATTAGCTGCGTGTGCAATTTTTGAACTACATTTAAGTCCTAATTAATTTAATTGAAGTCTGCAGCTAAATGCTAGTCTGAACAAGGCTGGTTTCCTGAACTGGAGCTTTGTACTGTCCAAACATTATCAATACCACCAAGAAAGCCTCCACAAAATTCCCCACTCCATTTCTGATATTTACATGCTGACATTCAGATTGGAAAAATGTCAGCAGTCACTAAACCACCTATAATTATGGCCATTAATTAGTTGTTTTTAAGAGTAGATGGAAGAATGAGTAATGAAATAATCTAAAATATTTTGAGATATTATCTTCCCTGCCAGAGAAAAGCTGCAGCTGATTAAAGTAGGCATGTGTCAAGTAGAAGTTAGGACACAAAAGGGAGAGCAGTTTGGTTGTCTGTGCCAAGGAATTTAGTGATGAGCAGAGTGAAGAACTGGGGCTTTGCATGTGCTGCTTATTGAAGACACATAGAAGAATCTTGTCTTACTGTCTAGGAGAAATGTGGAGCAATGGTTATTCTCACGAGGGCCTGCACAACCCAGGATTAGAGCTGAGTGAGACAGCCTTGAACTCTCTCTGACTCAGCTGAGCTGGGGAGGCCTGGAGTCGAAGAAATGTAAGCAGAATGTTGAAACAGGAGGTTGCTGGCCACAAGGAATGCACCGCTTATCACAAGGCATGCACCCTGCTGTTGCAGAGATATGTGTGTAAAACTTAGCTTAGCCAATAGCAGTGTATAGACAGGCGCGTGAAGAGTTGTTGGGGACCAATGATAGCTTTGCTTTAGGCGCGTGGCTTATTTAGAATCCTAAGAAACACTGTGTATGCAAACAATAGGGGAGAACGATCATACTCATATTGAGGTTGCGTCGTTACTCCGGGCTCGACTCCCCCTCCGACATCTGGTAGCAGAGGATGGTTCCTGACCAAAGATCTCTGAGACTGTGGTAAGCAGCAAGAGGAGGGTCGGAGCGGGAAGAATCGGCTGGGGAAGCCCTGCCGGGGACAAGAGGTCCAGGCAGACGCGGAAAGCCGGCGTTAGAGTAGCTCTCTAACCCCCAGGTGCAGCTATGGATCAGGAAGCTGCAGCCAACTTGCTCGCCGGAATCCTCTCCAAGAGAGGGAAAGAAGCGCCGGTGAAGCAGCTGATACGATTAATTAAGTTAGGCCAAAAATGGGGACATTTTGCAGACATTTGTCTGATATTTTCCGTATCGGAATGGCGAGACTTTGGGGGAACCATGTGGCAAAAACTGTGGACACCAATGGAACTCTGTCCTAGAGACCTTAAAAGAAATGAGGGCAGAGAGGGAAGCCCCCCCCCCCCGTTGTGCCTGGCACGGCATCACAGAAGCCTCCTCAGCATAAGGGGGAAGATAAAGTGAAACGGCGCTCGCGTCCAAAAGTACAAGTAGAAAGTGCAAACGCGGTCACCTTCGACCTAGAGGATGAAGACCCCGAATCGGAATTGGAACCAGACCCAGAGTCTCCGGCAGAACCGGACTTGTACCCTTCCCTTCCTGACCCCAACTCAGACTCAGACAATTCAGACAGTTCGGTTCATCGGCAGATGCGATCCAGCCTCAGTGACGGTCAACTGCAACAGCTGCTGAAGAAATTAAAGTATTGGAGACAAAAGAAACCTCCGAACCCTCTGCCCCACCCTCCTACAATCCAGTAGTAAAGAAAGGGGAGTGGGAGGGGGGTGTTGGGCACGGGTAGGGGATTACAGTAATAACCCTGCTAAAGGTTGGCCTGGGATGATCAAAGATGCAATTGTTATGGGGGAATATTCGGCTATGGGTCCCTCGGCATTCCCGGTGTTTAACACTCCACAGGGGGGAAAGGAGTGGGAGGCATTGGATTTAAAGGCAGTAAAGGAGGCGCGTCAACCGGTAACATCCTACGGGTTAAAATCATTGTATACTGAGGCAATTACTGAACATATTTTTTCTGCATATATCTTAGCACCATATGATATCTGTATAATAGCTCAATTGTTGCTTACTCCCCACCTTCAGATATGATTTAAAGTGATCACAGCAGAGGAAAAGGCTGGATACATGGCTACTGCCTTTGCCAGTGCTGTTAAACCCCTTCTACAATAAGGTTAGGGCGACTGTGGGGGTGCTAAAGGTATGAGGTGTTATAATTGTGGGCAGATGGGACATTGTAAAAAGAAACAGTGTACTGTAAAGAAAATTAGTTCAGCAACCCCTCCCCCCGCCCCCCCCCACGGTGGGGTTACTGGTTTTGCAGATAAATGTGTTAGATGTGACAAATTACTGCCCCAGGACACCCCCCTTGTCAGTGATTGAATGAATTGAAATTTGATCTTAGGACATCCGTTTTATGGATGGTTTCAGTCCTTAAAGTGAAGGGAGCAACCTTTTTTACGTTAAAGTTCTGCATCAAGACCTGCAGTGGGAAGGTCTCTCGTATGCTCTTATCAGGAGTATCGGGCAGACTGTGATGGACTGT